TCTTATCAATAAAAACTTTTCCTCTCACAGCCCTTAATAACAGTCCCATCTTCAAAAATAATATATTCTACCAAAAACAACCCCCCTCTCGTTTTTATTTAGGGTAAATATGATGTTTATTGGACAATTGGGAGATAGGGTGTAGGTGAGTTTTCCAGTCCTCTTGTTTGTTGAATAATGACTGTCGCAATCAAGTCAGAGGGCAAATGAGTAATTATTATTTCAGTTAGATTTTGTTTAATTTCTTTATAGAGCGTACAGACCTTCCATTCTCTCTGCTCCTTTCATCCCCATTGTGAAATATTACCATTGGAACATACGGCTGTGCAATTCTTCCTGATAAGTTCTGAGAGGATTCATGCTTTGAACCTATTGATAGACATAGCACATTAAAAATTAGCCTTCAATTATACCGCATAGGCAACAAACACATCGAGGAGCGCGAATAGTTGTCGATTCGCCCATCCGAGAGGACACATATATGTATCGCGCTCCATAAATTTTGATTGAGCCAATGAACGGTATACATAAACCAATTGACAGATATCCTCAACTTGAGGTTCCCCTTCAAATTTGTTGCATAGGCAACAAACATACCGAGGAGCGTGAATCGATTTGAAAAACGTAATATCTCTGAAGGCTTTGAATGCTTTGATTTAACAAAGCTGTAAGCTTTCGTCTTAAAAAATTCAGTTGAAGTTAAATAAATTTTGCCGTTTAGGAACAATATCCCCAACTTGTGAACTAAAATCCAGAGTAAACCACTCCTACTTAAACTGCCAACTTAGACAAATTATGAATCGTTTTTCGTGTTTCTTTTTCTTTTGATACATAATTTGTCTAAGCTACGTGTTGAACGACAAGCTATCTCCTTCATCAGTAAAAATTCATGGTGCAATCTTACATATTAATTTTTATGTCACGCTTAACAAGCATACTTATATAATANAGAGGCTGAAAAATTTGGAAGTCTGAAAATTTTGCGGACATCGGGACGTCAAGGGCTTTAACCAGAGTCAAGCATCGTCGAAATCGGTCCGGTAGAACTCCAGAAATAAGCGTTACAGTGAAACCCCCAACGATTTTATTTATATAGATTTAAGTACTTTAGTTTACCTCACTGACCTTAATTTTTGCACCATTTGACTATTCTGAAATTCAATTCTAAAAATGTCTGCTTCCTGAAACCAGCAAAATTGCAATCTGGAGAAAGTCTTCTTTCATAAATTAAATTTTTATTTTTGAATTCGTAGTTTTAAGTACTTCTTTTTTACTTTTTGTCCAGAGGCGTGGCGTGCTTTGCGATGTATCAATTGTTCTGCCATTTAAACCTATAGTAAAGAATCGATTACTAAGGTGTTCGTTGCGAATAAGAACGCAAAGCACACCACGCCATTATTTTTGTCTTATATTGATTTATTCAAATGAACCTGTTTGTTTGATCTTTTTGAACAGGTAGGCAGTATGATGTCAGTATTTATAAATATTTTAAGTATTCAGAAATTTCTTGTCACTCCAATGACGTAAATTTTAAAATATCGGGGTGACACGAAATTGCTTAATACTTGAAGAATAAACCCGGTCAAGAAAGTACCAACCGAATTAGTCAGTATCATGATTATTATTACTCAGAACTATTAAGGTGATAATTATTTGAATATTGATCAAATGCGGCTACTAAAATGTACTAAAATTGTAGCGAGAATCACCGCTAACTGGAGAGAGCGAAAGGCCTTACAAGCGTGACTTTTTTGCTTTAAATTTTTAGTAAACAGAGGGACGAAAATTGCTAATACATTAAAAATGCCCTGTAAGAAACTTTAAATTTTTAAAAATTTTCGGGGGGCCTCATATAGGTCCTCTTTTGATGAAGTTTCTTTTCTCATCAAAATTACGATCATTTTTTGGGGAGCAAATGAAAAAAAGAACACTTGAATTTACTTATTCAAACAAATTGTTCTTTCTCGACAATATATTTTTAATCAAGTCTTGGAATCTGCATGCAAAGTTTAGACGAACAGGAAGCTGTCTGAGAATTATAACTTTCCCTCTAATTTCGACGTAAATTGCAGCTTTTGAATTTTCGGGTGAAATGTAGACGGCTCCTGGTGGTGATCTGGTTTCCGGAGTGAGCGATAATATCATGGCTGACGTCAACGGCTGCACATCCCATCCTGGAAACTGTCAATTTGCCACACTTGATACAACAGCGAAACATCGTTTCTTGTTTATCTTGTGCGAGTTATTTATTTTATCAACTTTTATCCGAATCCCACAGCAAATACATCTCTCAAAGCTCACGGCACAACACAGCGCCATGTCGAGTCGTTGCACCTGCTTGCAGCTGCAATGTTGCAATTTTTGTGTTATATCTTAATTTTTTATTTTCTGAGGCACAATTTCATCAGATAATGTTACTCGGGAATTAAGAGTACAGCCGACATCACGATCAAGCTATCAGGCGTGATAAAGCGTTGCAAATTAAATACAAGGTGTCCCTTAATCACCTGGTGCCAGGTTTTTTTCTAGAAGTAGGGAGTGGACCCCAAGAGAGGCTAAAGAATTTCGAAACCATGAAAGTCTTTCAAGGGTCCGTTCCCCATTCAACTCTCCTATCCGGAACATTATCCAACCTAGTATAACTGGAAAAAACACGGGTTATCTGAGACATTTCGCATTTAAACTTTGCAAAGCTTCATCACCACCGATCGCTAGATCGTAGTGTCAACAACACGCAACAAGACACATACATAACAACAATCTTAATCCCCCAGTAACATCAGCTGATGGAATTGTGCTCCATAACATGAAAAAAGATCAATTAAAGTTGTTCGACCAAACAGCTTCGAAATACTTATGTCAGAATTTTTAATTTAGCTTCCGGAACGACGCTCAGATAGAATACGATGGTGCATGGTGCAAGGCATCTTCTGCTCACATCTCAGTCAAAAAAGCAAATGCACCCAATGATGTTGATAATATCGCTTTGACACAACTATTCGTACTCTGTGGACACGCGTGATGCGTGATGCGTACGGCAAAATGGAAGGCGCTCCGGTCCCTCCTCTCCACGAAGCAAAGCACGAAGCAGCGTAGGGCAGGCCGTTACGAATATTTGGCAAGATAAGATTTTCTGATGTAAACTAAAGGTAAGAAAACAGGAAAAGATATCTCGCGCGAGTTTCACACATTCTTATATTTTATCCAACCGCCATACAATAAATGGATAAAACAACAACAACGACGACATACCGAGTCGTGACAGCGTGTGGCTGCGAGCACTGCGCTATTTCATCGGCTAGAATGACGGAGCGCCTTCAATTTTTAGTGCGCAACACGCATGTTCATAGATCACGAATAGTTGCATAAAGGCGCGTTATTGCCAAAACCATCGATATGTCATACGCTCAAGTGTTAAGGAGGAAGGCCGTAATAAGAACTCGAGCGTAGCCAAATTTCCTTCGATTAAGCATGAATTTCCTGAAAAACTTGTAAGTTCTTATTTTTTTAAATTTACAGAGAATTTTCTACACACTTAAACTGATGATTCTGAAACGTTCCAAGAGATGTCCTCCTAACTTTCCGCAAAAGTAATGGTGTGTCAGAAAAAATTTGGCAGCGTGTGAATCTTCGAACGGCGTATTTCCGCCGCGGATAACTTGCTTTGGCGGCAGCCAAACTTAGCACGCCTCATCTGGAACATCTTGTATAAACTTTGCAACGCTGTATCACAACTGATTGGTAGAGTCCCTTTATACCCAGAGTTAAGACAACTCGATTATCAGCTGACTGACAGCCGGCCTTGGCTGGCCATGGAGGCCGAAACGAGTGCACCCAAACGAACGATATTGAGGGATAAGGATCAGGAATCCTGCGATGTCTGTCAAACAAAAACAACAACATCAACAAATTGATCAGTTAAAAAGAAAATGAGATTGGTTTGTGAATAATTTCTTAATCTATTTTCATTTTGGACCGATGGAAATTACAATTTACTCTTGATGAACCACAATTAGGTAATATTTTCATTATTCTTGTTCACATTCGAGGTACCGCCATCTTGGTGCACTCGTTTCGGCCTCCATGAGCGAGAACCAATCAGAATTGGATTTTTTTTTAGGCCACTTTCAGCCCAACCAAAAGTGAGTTGTCTTAACTCTGGGTATAAAGGGACTCTACTGATTGGTAGATCGTAGTGTCAACAACTGTCGTAATTCCCGAGTGGCATTAACTGCTGAAAGTGTGCCCCACAAAATAAAAAATAAAAAAAACCATTAAAACAAATTTTCAATTGAATAACTTCAAATATTATAGTTTAGTATAGACAGGTAAAAAAGTAGTACGGGTAAAAGGCATAGGGAATGTAATAAAATCCAACGGTGTTATGTTTTGAATGAACTAAAACCCACAGTGAGATATGATATTTTTAAAACAAGCCAGCAAAATTTCTGTCATCTGTAATATTTAATTAAATTTAATTTGCCATTGCGAATGGCTTAAAAATTGCTTTCGAGACGTACCAATTTTCAAAAATTCTTCGGGGGAGGCCCCTCGGACCCCCTTCTGCAGCTGAAGGAGTTCTCTCAGACCCCCTCAGCCCAAGTTCTATATCCCCCTGTGCCTCTCACAGAAAATTCATAATTTCGCCCATGGTTCCTATTTCATTTTTTCGAAGAGAAACCAGTCAACTTCATGGCTTGAAAGTTGTGCAGGATATGTCGCTTATACTGAAGAAAATTCAAGAAAGTTTTCAAGAAATTACGCAGACTAGTTTTCCAGGGAAAAAATACGGTAGGTATGGCAGGAAGCAGGAATAAAACAAGCGGAGAAACGTGGTTTCGCACTTCGCCCATTGCTGTCACTTAAAAATCTCTTGATGGCTCGAATGTTGGTCTTGTTCGAGTGGCAACACTGTGTATAGACTGTATAGACACGAGTGCTGCCGAATCCCTCGAAGATGGAATGGGCAACACGGCAAGCACTGTTGTCGACTTCTCGCGGGTATTTGCATGTTTTTACTTCAAAAATTACGTTTCTCCCAGATAGCCTGCAACACGGCGGGCACTCTTGATTCCCGAATTTTTGGCTTATTCCTAGTTTGACGTCACGCTGAGTCACCGCACTGTGCAGGGAGATTACAGTCAGTGCGCGCACTCTATGATGAAGAGAGCGGGCGAGGGTCGGGCGGGGTTCGGGGGGACTTGTTTCTATATTCGGCGGCTTCATAAGCGTATGTGTTTGCGTATGAATTAACAGAGCACCAAAAGACTCCGTCGTGAGGTTGACCTTTTTATTATGGGATACTCAGGGGTTCATTATCGTGGATAAATGATTTGTTCTGTTTTCAGTGTTGACTGATTTCAGAATTTTATAGGAGCCCAAGTATAGTACAGTACAACGAAAAATTTGATGGAAAATTGCTATTTTATTCCCATGAAACATCATTTAATCGATAAATGCAGATTGTAAACGATCGATAAGATCAACTCCTGGTATCTGAGAGATAGGCAATTTGCAATGCAAAGAGAAATTGCAACTTATTTCAATTTCACTGTAATCGATTTCGACAAAATATGCCCCTTCAATTAGTGAATAGGCAACATACACAACACTCTAATGCATAAGCAATAACCTTACGGTGTAATTGCAGCTCATAGCAATCAGTGCTCCTCGGGAGGTTGTCCCATTTTCCCATTAGACTTGGCGACAAATCAATGTAATTAATCTCTTCAGAGATTACACATTCTAACAAGTGGAACGTTCAAATTCAACGTTGCGGACTTGTTGATGTAGGTCTCTCCTTGCTAGGTGTGCAAAGGGATCAAACGCAAAGCATTTTGACTTACCTACGACTTTTGAACGGATCATCGGGCTGGGTTGAATTTTTACAAGTGTAAGAGCTCAACAAGGTCTATCTGCTTCTACAATTAAAAGAAAAATGAAAGGAATCTTGAGAACGACAAGAATCGATCGAAACAGATAAAAGTGAACCGATCGACGTCGATGTCGATTTGATCGAGAAATAATATAGAGCACGATTTCATTTTTAATTTTTAAGCGAATCAATTCCTAACAATGGCCCCGGTAGGTATATTTCTGTAAATTACTCAATCAATGAGGCGATCAATTATTAAAAGTATAATTTATGGCGAAACATCTAGACCCGTGACTTCAGTCACGGGATTTTCACTACCTACTTTGTTGTATAGGTTATACAGATTGGTTTTGTTGAGATATTTCATCGGTAAAAAAATTTCAATTCAATTCGAAAATCCGGCAATTTGGTAATAACACGTGTCGATGGTCGCTGCTGCTATGCTGATCTCGGCTTCGCTACACTCCTCCTCCTTCCTCCTTCTCCACGTCGGGGTTGAGATTTCTCCCTCCGAAAATCTGAAATCAGCTGAGTTCTCTAGAAAACAAAAAAAAAAGCTGAGAGCAACAAATAAGTATGGAAGTAAGAGATAATGCGAAGTTTTTTTCCACACGTTTCATCAGATTTTATCCTTGAAATAAAAGAAGTAGGATTTCAAAGGGTTCAAATTTTAAACATTTTTCGGCGGGCCGGGGCTCCCAACCCCCCTGCTATTGAAAAGGTATTCCATAATCCCGAACGTCGCGGTCTCGCGGTTGAGTGGCGCACAGTGGATGAATTACTCGGAAAGGTCAGACATTTGGAAACTTAAAAGCTCATACCTAACTCCGTTCATACAAAACTTCGAGATTTTAAAAGTGATTCTATTGGTTTCCTCGTGGCATTTACCTCTAGCGGCACCCCTCAAACTTTCAGACGTGACGAACCAAACATCAAAATTTGCAGTTTTAGTCAAAAATGTCATGTCCGACCTCTCTGATTGATTCGATCCACTGTGTGACAGTTGTTACAGCTTATGCCCTATCATCAAACCCGCCGCACAAGCACACCTCTGTAATCCGACCTAGAAATAATAATTATAACAAGCGCACTGAAGGATGAATGTTAATACTTTTACACTTGCTAATATGTGATCCCAACCCTTATCAGACAAGTTCGAGAGAACATTACGATCGCAATGTCTAGATCGTAAAAATAGTAGAAAACTCGGTAAAACAATCTATACATCGATCAATATTTAATATATTGATCGATTTCAATATGTAGATTGAGAACTTAGAAATTATTAATCTTCTTTTTAAAATAAGTCTGCCGAGCATCTTCTAATTGATAACCTACATGCATACATCGATCAAACATATTTTAAATCATAGAGCGTGCAGGGAACGTTGCTTTTGAAAACGCATAAGTGAAACGCATAATTATGCTGTAAAAAGGACAAAAGCCATTCTTCTTTCGCTTAAAATTTTTAATGGAGGAAGTAAAATAAAAACTTGAATAGGTACTTCAAAGAGACGTGAAAGGCACACGTTATATAAAAAAATCCCGTTTTGATGTTTTCTTAGAAAAGTCGTGCCTAAGTGACCGACTTTTCGAATATATAGAAACAATTACAGTAAGATCAGAAAACTCTTGTTTTTATCTAATTATGTATGAGTATAGCACGTGGCGCTTTAAAGCCAAAATAAACTTATAACGGCAATCTTTATTGCAAGTAGGTCATGGGTTACGCGCTCATCGTGATAACATATGTAACGCTCTTGTATTAAAACGACGTAACTCATTGACTATAACTGATAAATCGCATCAAGTAAAGATCGAGAAATTTCGGGACAAATCTTGAAAAATTAGGATCAATCGGGATTGAGGATCAGTTGGATTACATTTTAAAATTAGGAACTACAACTACTGGCTCAATCGTAAAAACATTAATGTGCATGGGGAAACTAATAGAACATACGTTGTTTCTAAACTGGGGCGGATATTATCGTTCCGATTGCAAAATGTAGCCCAGCTGTGATAAAGTGAGAGTTTTCGATATCGATATGGATACGGGTAAAATAATCAATTAAAAAGAAAAAAAAACACTAAAAAAATTCAGCCCGAACTGCGGTGAGTGATAAGGTGGTAAAATAGCGCTGGGTCCACACTATTTCGCGGGCAAAGCAATAGGCTAAGTTCAAAAGTTTCAATCGGTCTGCATTTTGCAATTTGGAACTGGAATATCTGGTTGCAGTTCAGAAACGACGTATGTACCATTAGTTCCCCTGTGCACACGAGTGTTATTATACATATGGGATTATGGGCTAAAATTATAATTCTTGATTGCAAAATGCAGTCCAATCGAAGACAAGAAAATTTATGGAGGAAATTCATCAGGACACATCTAGATGACTTGAGGTATAATTTTACAACAAGGGTGTCACTGAATATAATCCTTTTTGTTTTTACACTATTCCACATCGAAACGTCAGTGACAAAAACCGGAGGATTTTTTTTTTTTTTTTCTACCTACACATTTTCGATTAGGAAAGAATAACGAGCCTCATTTTCACAAATCGTGTGTCACCTACCTACGTCATTTTCATGAAAGCAAATAAGTCAACAAAATTACAAAAAAGAGCGTCCTCTCAACATCAAGAATGCACACAGGGTCGTCCCGCGAGGAAATTAGCGGACAGGCAAGTCCTCTCATCGGTACCCCATTGTGGATGCGGGCTCTACAGGGACATTATCTACAGGGCCGAAGGGGGGGGGGTCGGAAGGGCCTTTCCCGGATAATTTTTTTTTAAAAACCCTGTCCAACCACCCATTTTCATACTATCTGAGTAGAAAAATTGAATGTCTTCGCGAGTTTGCTGATGAAAATTATGATTTCCCCCTATACTAATCATAGAAGGCATACTAATTTTCATTTCCAAATTAATAGGTGCGCAAAAAAAAAAAAAAAAAATCTAGCAACCCCTTGGGCTTTGCGCCCCAGGAGGGCGCTCGTTTTTCTGGTACGGCGCGGCGGGACGGCTCTGAGTCCACGTAAAACACGTAATTTATACAAAATTATAAGCTTATCACAAAAACTGTACATTGTTCTTCAATATATCGATACTCGTAAGAATTTGTATTCAAACTGCCAGGTTGATAAAAAAAACGATGTTTTTCAAATTATTAGTTGAGCGTCGTCTTTTTTTTCTAAACGCCAAGACAAAGGCACTTACCTAATGATAAAACATTATTAATGCCCCAAGTAGCACAGTGCAACGAAAATATTGAAATAATTTTGCAATGAAATTGCAATATTTTTTCATCATTTCGGCAATAAGCACATATCGATTTTAAAAGAGCAATAAAGCAAAGTTAAAGCAATAGCAACAGTTTTGCAATTAATTTCGATAACATGTGCCCCTTCAATCAGTGATTAGACAACATACACAACACTCCAGCACAATAGCGATAATTTTACCATGTAACGACTGCCGTTCATCGCAATCTAAGCTACTCAATTGGTGTTCACATTTGAAATTGCCCATCAACTAAATATTATGACTACAGTTAAGGCATGATCGTGGACATCTTGGAGTAACTCGTACATTGCCGGAAAATATTCGATGCGGAAGTTGATGTTTTGACGCTATTTTAAGCATGCCGATGCGTCGGCCTTTTTCACTTTGCTGTCGCTTCGAAAAACGCGGCAGCAAAGCGGGAAAAGACAAATCCAAAGGCATGCGATGTCTTCGATGTGTGGTTGCACGTTCGATGTCCATATTTCGTTGGCAGGAAGGTAGTGGACCAAGCAGAAATAAAGACGAGTCGTTTGCGGAGACAAACGCAGTGTGTTTGTGAGCTATCATACAAATGTGGGATTTGTTTACATTTCTTCTCCAGAATTCTTCAATATTCATAGGCGGATCCAAACACTTTAGAAGGGAATAGGGGGGTCTGGAGCAGGTTTAGGGGGCATCCCCAGAAAATTTTCGAAATTCTAAAGCATCTAATGCTGTTTAAGTCAATTTCATCATGAATAATTACCAAATATGAGCGTCTTCCCTTCCTCTTTCCTCCGTTCCTTCCTTCTTTCTTTCCTCCCTTTTTCTTCCTTCTTAGTTTCAGGCAAACGGGGGAGACCGTACGCCCCTTACACCCCCTTCCCCCTTGGATCCGCCTATGTCAATATTATCACAAAAACATGTCGGGGTGGAATCAGGCAAAATGAGACATAGACTGCTTGCACAATTTTTTAATTAATTTGTTTAATTCTTTGCGGCAAATGACAAACAATGTATTCTTAAAGCTGTGCCACAGATATTTCATTTTTTTACGATATCGCCGAAAGTCCCATTTTGCTTGACTCTCTCAGAATCCGATGCCTGACAAAGAAAACAGTATGGCAACTCCCGAATATGATTTTAATAAACATTACAAGTTTCGCAGTCAAGTGGCAATCGCCGGCAATTTGCAAGACATTAGTGATGAATAGAAATGCGTCAAATTAAAAAATAAACGGAAATGAATAGAGTAAATTAATCGTAATGGTCATTTTTCATTTAAACGGAGTAGGCACTTTTCCCTCCGTAAACACATGGGAGTAACTGGCGCACTCAGGCGAGCGTGCAGTGAGATCCGTAACCTCAGTTCAGTGCGGGTCAGACGGGCAACCAAACCAACAGCGTGACAAAGCGTGGAGTATCGCGGAAAATGAAGGCGCTCTGTGCCGAGATCGTGCTTTGAACATGCATTATCAATGTAACCTTCATTTTGCCGATGTGAAATATTGCGATTTATCGAACGAATACGCAAGCCGCTTGCAAATTGCCGGCGATGGCTACTTACAGACCTCCGATGTGATTATCTCTAATATAATATTAGCAAATGAATGAAAAAGGCACAAGAAAACCTAACGTGTAGGTAGGTAATAATAAAGAGTTAGGGAACATATTTGATAGTCGCTTCCTCAACAGTATTCAAAAGTTTTGAAAAATATCTAGAAGTTTTCTTCATTTTTTAAACGATTTCTGTTTTATCGAATACCCGTGTAACATAACAGGATATTGCGACAATTTTGAAACACAGACTGAAACAAATATTTAAGTAAGAACCTTTCGAAATTTCATAGGAAAAAGTAAAGTAGGTAGGTAGCTGGTGCAATTCATTGATATTCCAAGCAAATCTTAGTTTATAAATACAGAACAATACCAAATATGTTTGAATTTAAATTATGGAATTTTATGAATTTCTCTGGCTTATGTTTCAAGTTTATGAATTTTGGATACACAATTTCATTGAGCAATGCTACCTGCAGTAAG